TGGACAATTGAGAGAATTTATATTTTGTTTAATAAGTTTCAGTTGATGATTCATATAAGGGAACATGATGAATATTTTCCACCGTGTATTTTGCCGTGTTCACGGTGGTCTTGGGCGTTTGTATAACGGAAAATCCTGTAATAAAACGTTTGGAACCATCACTTGGATAATTGCACTTGCATCAACCAGTTAGAAAAAGTTGGGAGCAGCTATAACATCATTTAAATGTAACCGAAAAGCCTTCTGTTCTTTTATGTTTATGTTTATGATTGTGTTTATGCATTTGGCAGATCTTTGCTTTTATCCAAAGCGACTTACAGAGTAGACGCAATATTACATTTCTCATCACTATGACAATAAGCTATATAGAACTGAACGTGTTTGTGTCTTTAATCTAAGGCCTCAGGTTCTTCATTTAGCTGCGTTTCTGTTTTAGCTTTGCTTCGATCAAACAGCAGATCCCAGCCCGGTCAGGAAAGGCTGCCCGGTCTGGAGGTCAGTGTGTGTGTGTGTGTGTGTGTGTGTGTGTGTGTGTGTGTGTGTGTGTGAATGTGTGTGTATGGGGGTGTTAAGAGTTCATTCATCCCCAGGTGATGAAAACAGTAACGCTGCATGACGGAGAACTAGAGCTCACTGGATGCCTGAACAGTGAGAAAATTCACGGGAGGAGAATGTTTTTTAAAGACTTCAAAGGAAATGCTGAAATGTGGCTTTAAGGATGTCACCGTGGATCTACAGAACCCCCCCCACCCCGTTTTCTGCTATTGAACGGACACATATGAGCAGAAGGTGAAGAACGAACAGGTCCAGTCTTTAAACACTTTACAGTAAAACAGAAAAAACACATTTTTATGCATCATTCCCCAAATGTGAATATAAGGATTAGTATTCTTTGCTAATGTATCTTTCCTATTTGGATTTGCAATCAAAACGTTACTTCAAACTAATTGCTTGTTGCAAGCCTACACTTTTATCTCCTTCAGTTTTCTTTTGAATGAATCACTTTGCTCTGGCGGGGTTTCATTTTCATTAAAAAAGCAGATTGCAATGAACCACCAGAAACTGCTGGATGCTAGAAAACCTGCCCTTCAACATGTATCAGTGCTGTAAAAATGTGTTTTTGATGAATATACATATACGTGATTAAACTTGTCTTTGCCAGAGTAAGGAGGAGAGAACAGAACGTCTTTGGAGGGATGAGAGAGGAGCAAAATTCGAGGTGTGAGGAAGAATAACGCGTCGGAAAAAAGGTCTGAGAGAATGGAGCCTTGGGTTCTTGTGAGAGGCGTCTAATCCCCCTCCATGAATGAAAAGCTTCTCTTTAATGCTTGTTTCCACCCACGTTAGCGCTTTTTCTCCACCCTCTCTGCGGGAGCTCGTCTTTTAAAAAGGCGCATAAATACATCTGTCAGACAGCGCTGACCTTTGACCTTTGGACTTCGGATTAATTTTTCATTATCATCACCAGAGGAGGGTCGCCCGCTACCTGGAATCCAGCAGGGCTTTTAAAAAAAAATCTTGGTTCAGCTTCCCGGTGTTAGAAAAGTGGAGGAAAAATAAGTTCTGTGACCTGGAACAGTGGGGCTTCTTAACCGGCCAATCAGAGCCCTGGACCAGGACTTTACTCTCACCAGGGTGGAACAATCGTTGCAGAATCGAAAAAGGCCTTGCATCATGATTTTAACGTTAGCTGGAGGAGCTCCTTCTGATCTTGGCTGCAAGCAGTGGAAAGAAAATATATTTAGCTTCTATTTCTAATTCTATTCGAAGGCTTAAGACACCCAGTTCAAGCTAAACTGGGAGTTCAGAACCGTCCCAGTCCCAGTATAGTTTAGACCCACTAAGCTCATCTCATTTTCTTATTCAAGTTTGTGTCTGACGACAGACGCTTTTCAAATTTCAAATGTCGATATTGTCACCCTGGATTAATTTTGGACCAATTCTATTTAACTCATTGACTGGCAGCCATTTTCAGAACAGAGAGTCCCATACTGCCAGAGTTTGTTGAGCATTTTGACTGATTTTTCAAGAGCCACAGAATAGTTTGTGCTATGACTATGTAAACACCGAACACACCAAAAGAAAGAGTAGACTCTCTTCTTTCCTCAGGAAAAAAAAATTGTTTCTACCTTATTCCGTTCTTCCTGGACTTGCGTCTCACCGGCGACATGTTCTCTCATAGAACCGTTCCCTTTTTCTTATTTGCCTACAGTCTATGCTCATCTCCCATCAAAAGTGGCACTGCCCCCTAGAGGGTCAATTTGTTACAACATACTCTGTCTAGAAGCAGATATTTACGGACAAGCTTTAGCAGATCGTCCCCCAGCCACTCTCGTTGAAAAACATAACAGACGTCTATAGACGTCTTTGGCAGCCAATGAGTTAATTGGGTGTTGGTTTTGTGTAAACAGTTCTCTTCATCCTGGTCAAACTAAGTTAGAAAGTAGTTATTCATCTTTTTTAGAAAGTCCAGTCGGCCCACAGCCGATTTGATTAATTATCTATTCATGAAAATGAAAAGTCTGTGACGAAATCTCCACTGAAACGAGGATTTGTGGACTCATTTTCCACTTTTTGTCAAACAATGCGTCGTCACTTTCAGAGAAGAGCTTGTAAATAACTTGAACTGAACGTGTCTGTAGGGACAAAAAGGCGATTTGTGGTGTGGATTAAATTATCTTTTGTAACTGGATACAAGTCAGAGTCGTGATTGTTTATAGGGATTTACAGCAGAAATACTCGAGTGATGGAGAAAACCTACACAATGGAACTGGATATAAACTCCCATCTCCACCACATGCTGTGGTCTTAGGAAATAAAAAAGCAACACGCCAGAAGCAAATACAGTTGAGATAATCACTCTACCACAGAATCATAATCAGGAACAAACTGTACAGAATAAACTACGTCACTAAAGTGAGTGGATTCATCCGAATTGCTGATTCTTACTGATTTATGTTCGTATTTGTGAAAGCTCATGCATCTTTTTATTTTCATCTCACCAAATGTATGATTTGTTTCTTCCCGATGAAGGAAAGTAAAGTCAGATTGTTGGTATTTGCTCACATATTTGGCCGATTGAGTCAGTTTCGGTCCCCATGTGAGCAGCAGGGTGGAGGTCAGTGTGTTGGACACTTAATCCGGACGGTCACAAACTATGTGTGTCAGAGTTGAAGCTGTCTTTTCCCTCCTGGAACTATTGGGTTGACTTAAAAATTCATTGTTGATGTTCGTCATACACACGCAAATCTGGGATTCAATCAGTGGTTTGTGAGTTTGTGATGTCGAGATCTCCCCCTGAATATTTAAAGTGTGTGATATTGTTCAGGAGTCTCTAGGGAAGAGGTGTGAACTGATAATAAGAGCAAAAGAGAGATGACAAAGAGGTGTGAATCCTCCTGGTTTCCAGTGAGCAAAATCCTGACTGAATAAAGCGTAAAAAAATCATGAAACCAATATTTTCTTTTCAAGAGCAAAGTGAACAAAACAGTGAATCCCAAAGGGCCTCTTCTATGAAAGTGTGATTTAAGGAAAGCCGTCGTTCTCACATCAGATGGAGAGATGAAGGTTTGCACCGAAATATAACTCTGTTGATTTATTTTGAATGAAATTGAAGTTGGATTTGATAAGAATAGAGTGAGAAGAAGAATGATTTTAATTCTACATGACAAAAGATATGCATCTCCCCCCCAGGAACTGCTAATTAAATATGGTATACACAGAGGTTCTGGTATATACTGTAATAAATAAACATGTGCTCATAAATATAAATGCTTGGTGTTCTGTATGGGGGTTATAAATATATGGTGATACAGCTAAAGGGTAATTTCAGTTGATGTTTCTGCTCTGAAAGAAATGCTGTCTGGAGCTAAATCTGTTGTCTGAATTATTTGATAGATAGATCTGTGTTCTGTGTGATAATGTAGGGTGATGGCAAAGTTGGGCTTTCTGGAACAAAACCTGCATTTTCATGCCAAATAATGTCTGAACGAGGCGTTTTTTTGTCATTTCAGTACACAGTGGACAGATAATATTTGGTGCTTCCATAACAAATTGCTGTGAGATGATCAGTGATTGTTATTTCTGATTGTTGTGCCGAGGCTCAGACAGTTTCGGTTACTCAGAAATATCACGTTACACTGAATACCCACACGTCTGTGGTAGGAGATGGTGTTAGTCCTTTAAAATCACAGAAAACAAAAAAAAGTTCATGGGTTAAGTTAAGTTATTTTTATCTATTTTTTCTTCCACTTCTGTCATCATGAGAACGATGCGGTAACTTCTGCTCATTTCCTAAAAATTAGATCACTTTAAATAGCAGG